GGCTTCAAGTAACCCCACAAGAAGTACCCTAACGGTGTTAAATCACAACTTCGTGGAAGCCATCCAATGTCACAATTTCTTACAATAATCGATTTTCCAACCTTTCACGCAATAATGCGCTTGTTGCACGTGCTATGTGGCAAGTAGCCCCTACATGTAGCAACCAGATATTGTCAAGATCGACTTCAACCAATTGCGGCCGTAAAAAGTTGGTTATCATTGGTCTATCTCACCGTTGACAGAAGCAGTGTCAGCGGCTTAATTTCGAAAGAAGTCCGGACCGATGATTCCACCGGACCAAAAATTACACCCAACTGTCAATTTAGGTGAATGTAATGGTTGTTTAAGAATAATTTGTGGATTTTATTTCCCCAGAGTCGAAAGTTTTGTTTACTTATTGCACCACCCAGATAACATACATATACATATTAAAAATGATCGAAACGGCATTTAGAATTTAAATCATCCCCGGGAAACCCGGCATTCAATTAATGATGCAATTTTAAACTTATAAGTTATACTTAAAATTTAAGTTCTTCACTAAGTGTTGCCAGGTACAATCTGACATTTCCATTGGAAAGTTTGACATTTTTTAGCATAACATTACTCAGAACGTTTTGTCATTTAATCGTGAATTGTTTTATTTACAGGGAATTAAAAAATTCATCTCGGACAAAAACTGGAATTAACTCGTGAACATTTTCGTGCGATCATTTTTCACAACTTTGTTCGATCCCGCACAATTTGACAATCGTTCAAAAAAATGCTCGTGTAGATTAGTGTAAAGAAATGCTGAAAAAATACGATCACGGTGCTTCAAAAGACGTTTATAAGATCGTCATAGGTGACGAATCATGGATCTATGCGTATGATCGCGAAACAAAACAGCAATCGACCGTGTGGGTCTTCCAAGACGAGCCAAATCCAACGAAAGTTGTTCGTGGAAGAATCCCTTCGCAGCAAATGGTCGCCTGTTTCTTCGGCAAAACTGGTCATGTGGTGACTGTTCCGCTTGAGCAACGTAGGACGGTCAATTCTGAATGGTACACCATCATTTGTTTGCCTGAAGTCTTCGGAGAAATTCGAAAAACGAACAAGAGAAGACGAATCATTGTGCACCATGTCAATGCGAGCTCTCACACATCGGCTCAAACCAGCGCCTTCTTGACCGGCCAAAACGTCAAATATACGGGTCATCCGACTTCTTTTTATTCCCACAAGTCAAGAAAATAATGCGTGGTCAACGATTTTCGTCGCCAGAAGATGCTGTTGAAGCATTCAAAAACCATGTTTCGGAGGTGTCTCAATCGGAGTGGTAAAAGTGCTTCGAAAATTGGTTTGAGCGCATGCAAAAGTGTATAAATCTTGATGGAGAATACTTTGAAAAACAATAAAACCATTTTCGTTGATAAATATTCCTATTTTCATTATTAGGCCAGAAATATGTATAGCAGCCCTCGTATATGCTTCATAACATTCGCTGCTGCAACTTTATTCACACGTAATAAGTCAGCTGTTTTGATGTTTTCAGCCTGCTGCACTCATGCGGCTAGAACGGTATTTATCAAGAAATCACTTAGAAGTGTTTATAACACCTGTCCTTAAGCTCGCAAAACTCTCGTTAATGCAACTTTTTATATCAGCTTAGTTTTCTTCGTTTCGCACATTCCCAAACTGCTAAGAAATTTATAAGCAAAACTGTTATTTGCGAAAATTATTCTCGCTGATTTTGACATGGACTTGTCGTCGGAGTGTTGACAAGTATTCGACATGTTCTTTACTTGAGATTTGTGTGTTTGTAAGACTTGCCATGGTTGAAAAGGAATCTAAAACTGGAAAATATTATTAAAAAATTTATTTTTTATTAATTTTTAAATTTTCAGGAAATACTGTACATAAATACAGTGGTTTTATATTAGTGTAAATTGAATCAAAAAACAAATAATATAATAAAGAAGACGAAATACTCGTATGCATGTGCGTTCACGAGTATATTAAAATGTTCAATACACAAGCTCATAAATATATAACTATGTAGCTAAAGTTATTGAGTGCGATTTTCGACTGCAATGAAGTTGTCAATTTAATGGACACATTGATTTCCTTTTATGCTTACATCTTATTTGTGAAAGACGTCCTGTCCTTTACTGCTATTAAATGGCTGCCGGCATAGCTCGTATTCTAAATTGAATTTTACGATTATTTGATGGTGGCTAATATCATTCGGAAAATCGGCAGACTTTCATTGGCATTTATTATCGCAAAGCTTTTTACAGTTAACACTTGATTTATTTGTCCTGCGGACATGACTTCGCATTTTTTTGTTGAGTTTTTCTTAGACTGTATTTGACGTTTCTACGCCATTAAACAAGAAGAAGTATTTGACGTTTATTAAGCCACTATTTTTTGAGAGATTTTTTGTTAAAACTGAAGTGTGAAATTTTCGAACACTTTGATTGGTTTGGTTTGAGTTAGATTTTGGTTTGGCCGTTTGCTTAAGGGCAACATACATAACATATAAGTCGGTATATGTTGCGCTTAAGTTCACCTACAGACAGCGGTGTATGAGAGTTACAACAAGTTACTGCTATACATATAACAACAGGTTATGCAAAACCGCTTATGTGTAGCAATTCGGCCTCAAGCGGAACTAAATCACATGCGTAGCACGACTGTAGTGGCCGTGATTGTTTCAAAATGCCGTTGCTTGTGAAATATGGTGATTGATAAGCGGCAGCAGCAGCACGAACTAGCGCCTATGCACAAGTAAGTCGGCTATGTGCGGTATACATACTATATGTATGTAGCTGTGCTTGTCACTTGCAGCGCTGTCTTTTGGATACACACATTCTCTGGTATTATGCTGTCAATGATGGTTGTTGTTATTGCTGTTATGCTACTGACAATCGTTGTCGATAAGAGGTCTACTTGCTTTCACAGCTTACATAATTGAAATTGATTAGCAAGGTTGTTACAGTGATACGCAGCTGTCGGTAATCGAAGGTACGGCCATCAACCGCAATAATGCTCCACTGAAAATGCCAATGGTATAGTAGGTCTTAGTGCACTGCACGGTTGTCGGTGTTTATGGTATTTGTGATAATGCTCATCAGCGCCACTTGTCGGTTTCTGAACAATCATTGGAACTTGTTGTTGATTGTGTGTGCTTGCTGTTGATGCTTACATATATTATGAAGTTGAGGGCTGGTGTCAATTATTACACGGATGTGGTTGTTGTCGTCATGCGCATGTATATGCGTGCTTTGTGTTGATATTTGCATCGCATCGTTATGCCAATCAAGTGTTTTTGGCATTGCCAATAATCATAGATTTGGACACATAAACATATTGTCGTGACTACGATGCC